GTTTTGAATTTCTTTGCTAAATAACCAGAAAATTCTGGTTCATAAGGCAGTTTTATTTTTATTTTTTTGGAGGTAGTTCCATACTGCTTTCCAAAGTCGTTGCACCAATTTGCATTCCCATCAATAGTGCACAAGGGTTCCCTTTTCTCCACATCTTTGCCAACACTTGTTATTTGTTGATTTATTGATGATAGACATTCTGACAGGTGTGGGGTGATATATCTGTGTGCTTTTATATTTTCGTGATGATTAGTGAAGTTGAGGATCTTTTCATATGTTTGTTGTCATTTATATGTCATCTTTGGAGAAATTTTCATTTAAGTTCTCTGCCTATTTTTTTTAAAGAATCAAATTGGTTTGTTTTTGTGTGATAAGTTGTATCAGTTCCTTATATATTTTGGATACTAATCCTTTATTAGATGTGCCAATATCTCCTCCCCTTCAGTGGGTTGTCTTTTCATTTTGTTGATGTTTTCCTTCGCTGTGCAAACACCTTTTAGTTTGATGTAGTCCAGTTTGTTTTTATTTTGTTTCCTTTTGCTTTTCATTTTTGAGGAACTTGTTTTGTGAAAGCTAAGTTTAATGGTATTACATAAGATACTTTGTTCAGATTCTGAAATTTAGAGTAACTTTGCTTTGTGCCAAGCCTACTGGTCTAATTAGAGCAGCTTTTCCCAAGTGTGAATAGATATAATAATGGGTACTCCTTTACGGTATTTTTCATTGTTAAGTAAATGGGGAAAATGATATTAAGTTTAAGCAGGTGTTTTTCTTTTCTTCTTCTTCTTTAACTGTAGGTGCTTTAAGTGTCAGCAGGCACTTTGGCTCTCCCAGAGGGAAGTGTAGTATGAGGTGTTTTTCAAACTTAGCCAATCACAGAATCCCTCATTTAAGAACATTTCAGGGAATAGGTATGTCCCAGAATCCATGTTAGCAGACTCATCTGAGGCATTGGTGGGTGAGCTAACATCAGAGTGAGTGGTTCTGAGGAGGGACTGATCCCTTAAGGTTGGCAGGAATCAGGGAAGCTTCATGAAGGAGACCTCTGAGCTGCGCCATGAAGGACGAGGTGAGTGCCAACAGGCAGGACTGTAAGCAGGAGCTGGTGGGGTGGGGGTGGGGCATGAGCAAGGACAGAGAAGGAAGGGCACACACTTTGTTCCAGGAGCAGCCGTGTCTCCTGCTGTATCCACAGGGGGGTCTCCTTATGTTCAAGTAAACATCCCCCAGACAACCACAGACCACAGATGGCCCCAGTCTACTCAAGAGGATGCAGGACAGGAAGGAGGCGGCACAGGGCAGCACCAGGCTTTCTGCTCTACAGCTGTAGTCATGGCAACAGTCCACGCAGGTTGTTTATACAGCTGTCCGGTGTTTTCTTTCCCCTCCACCCCGCCTGACAGCTCTGGAGCGAAGAAGGAGTTCTATTGGGCTTAGAAGTTCTGTGTCTCATTGCAGCCAACAGCTCTTGTTGCAACCCCACAGGCATTGCTTTCAGGGTCCCCATGGGGGACATGCTCAGTTACAGGTCACCACACTCAAGTCCCAACCATGGCGTATCTCCAGGTATGCGGAGCTTCTCCCCATCCCGACGCAATTGCCAGTCAGAGATCATTTTAAACACGAGCAATTTTGCCTACATAACACGGTTGACATAATACTCTTCTTCAATGTCCACGGGAGCAGAGCTTGAATGTTCAGCTAAGTCTAAGTTCCTTTTCAGAAGCTGTGCCCTTCACACTCAGCTCTGAAACAGGAGCCTGCGAAGGCGATGGGGCACATTATGTGGGAACTTGAGTTAGGATTTAAGCAACATCTAGTGACAAAAAAGACACTGAGTATTTTGGTGTGAAACTAGGCCCATAAGTAAATATTGCAACATCCAAACAGATGTCAGCATTCGTATGTCGAGAAGTTTAAACGCAAGAACACCTGTGTGATCCTCTTCAATGTGACATGAACCTTCTGGAATAGAAAGGATGGTGCCGTTTCAGTCCATGGAATGGGCGGGCCTTTCTTTCCCTTCACTCCTGACTCCCTAGAGTCCCCGGGTGTGTTTATTTCCAAACGAGCAGTGGCAGAAGAGACTTTTTCTGAATGAGAAAACAGGAAAGAAGGCAGCGGGTAGAGAATGCTCTTTCTGTATTGAATGCAAACCCTCTGCGGTTGTGAAAAGTCGTGGCAGCTTGCATCCCACTTGCTGAAGCAATGCCGGATTGTTCCTCGGCCTTCTCAGAGCCATCGGACTCCAGCCCTCAGGACCTGGCCTGCACCACGAGGCTGTGGCTTAGCAGGAAGCACCTGGTGCCTCCCGGGAGGAGCTAGCCTCCTGCCTCCACTGCTCTCAGGCTCCTGGCCTCCTGCCTCCCTCTGGCCTGACCGCTGTCTGCTTCCCCTGGTGACAGGTAGTTGATGTGTGACTGGTCTGGGAGAGCTGATTTTTTTCTGCGGGCGACAGGCTCACGCCCCACTCTCTGCTCACACACACATCATGCAAACCGCAATGACACACACAGCTTGGGAGCCCCCGAGAGCACAGACCCCCAGGCCAGCATGACTGAGTGGGGTTCCTGATCCCTCACCGAGAGGCCAGGGCTGCCTCCCCTGCAGCGATGTGTCCAGCACAGAACAAAAATCCCACGCCCATTGCCAATGTGTCTTATTTTTTATTGTCTTAAAATCTGTTTTTGTTGATTTCAGAGAAAGGGAGTGTGGTGGTGGTGGGGGGGGGAGAGATGAAAACATCAATGATGAGAACCATCCATTGGCCACCTCCTGCACAGTCCCTGTTGGGCATGGAGCCCTGACTGGGAATTGAACCCTGACCGCCAGGTTCCTGGGTTGGTGCTAACCAGGGAACGGCACCATCCTGACACCAGTGTGTTTAAACCAACCATGCTCAGAACCCCTTGCAGTGAGAACTCGCAGCCTGGGTAAAAGGATGCTTTTCACGTGGGGTCGACAAGAGAAGCATACCATCATGAATCCAAGAAAATAAATTTATTCAACTTTGAAGGAAAAAAATCCACAGACAATAAAGGAAGTTAAATATAAACTGCAGGACACAACTAGTCATACTAGTGAATAATGGCTTGTGTGGCCAGCAAAGTACCAAAACGACATTCTGAGACTGATTGAGGTATTTAGCTATTTTTTTGGCGATAGAAATGTTGTCAGCCTATTGTGAAATAGCAAGATAGTTTTCCCAAACACACAGTTTTTATGTTGAATTAGGCTCTACGTCCATGAAATTTATATGAAACTAAATTATGCAGCTCTTATCGAAAACCATAGCAGCAAGGTAGCAGAAAAACCTATGACAAAGTAACAAAATAACATGTTGAACTTTAAACACCCAATTCCAGCCTTTCCCTGTCCTTGCGAGAAAGAGGGGATTTAAAATTACCAACCATTAGGCTTACTTCCTAAAAAGGTCTGAGCTAAATGGCAAATACTACTGAAGTTAAAGCTAACGTTAAAGTTTTATTCACCTTTTAAAAAAATACTTAAAGTGAGAAGTATTCTTCATTGAGATAAGATCCTTCTCTCTCTCTCTCTCTCTTTTTATAAACTTTTTGGGAGCCATCCCAGTGCTCCTAAAAAGGATGCTTAAGCTACTAAGGGATTGAACAATTATTCATAAATTACGCAGGCCCCTTGTTTTTCTTCAGACACCCTGCCATGAGGCCAATCATTGCACTCAGAGGGGAAATAAAAATGATGAAGCCTCGTTTACTATTTTAAATTAATCCTATAGGAGGCTTGGTGAGGAAGGCGGTTTCTCTGATTGGCTCGAAGAAGCTGGGGGTTCTCTGGGGATTTCACACCTTGTTTCTCGTTCACATAATTAACGAGCTTGTGCTGGCCATCGTCTGCGAAACAAACACCCGCTCCTCACCCGTCTTACTCCTGGATGCGGTGAGCTTCATTGCGACCTGCCCCGACGTACAAAGTGCTTCCTGTACCTATTCCCTTCGTAGGTACCCGGGGAAGAGAACCCAGCTGTGCCTGAGGGCAGCCCGCTGCCCAGATGCTAGGCTTTCCTTCCCCCTCCTCAGTGTGAACCAGCTCCAGGTCCTACTTCTACTATGGAGCGCTCCGACACCAACCGAAATGTGGGCAAGGGAGGGGATTCTGTTTGTGTGTTTTTCGGTTCACGGTAAGGTGGCCTGTGCAAACATTTTCAAGTTTTCTACATGAACACCTGTTCGTTTAAAAATTCAGCTTGGACCAGCATGTTCCAATGATGTAGGTAACTACCATCATTGCAGACATGTTCAAGGAGGTTGGGGAGGTATCAAAAGGGCTTTGTCAAAAAAAACCGACTTGTTGATTTGCTTTCATCAGGTGCATGGACCCAAGCATCAGGTCAGCTGCTGACGGTAGCCGCTACATTCTTCCGATGGGTCCCCGTGACCTTCGGGCAGTGTCGTAAAAAACAGCCATGCTTGAAGTGTAAATTATTAAAAATATCTTTATCAGTGTTATGTCAAAATAAAATTTCCATATCCAAACTATTTTTTTTTGTTCTCTTTGCTTATAATGTTAGCTCCCAATCACGTAAAAAAAAAAAAAGAGTAGCCTGTGCTTTAATTCGCATTCGAGTTTCCCGAACTGCAAAAGCCACCTGATTCTCCACTTTGTCAAAAGAAAGCATGATTCACCTCACATTAACGACACAGCCACTCGAAGCGCAGCATCACACAACGAACACCCACAGCCACAAGACGGTCACGGCCACGCAACAGTCGTGGAGACGAAATCTTGAAAAGTATTTACAGTTCACAAGGGGGGTATCTATCTGATTAAGTGTTTCTCTTCTTTCTCTCTCTCTCTTTTTTTTAATATCATGTTTCCACATTTCAGGAAAAGACATTTAGAATCCACACTCTCTCCCCACACTCCCCTCGAACCCCCAACCGCCCCAGAAGGTTTAAACATGGTTTTGGTTTAAGCATGTATGCCCCAGCCCTCTCTTGGCCATGAAATCCTCAAAGAGGCTACGGCATGATGTTGTTGAGCTGGTCTGTGCTCACGTAGCCACACGCCGACAGGAACTCCTTGTCGGGCCGGGGCAAGGCAGTGGCGTTGAGGACCAGGCCCTGCGGAGACTGGACGATGTGGATGGAGGTATAGTCAGGGACGGGCATGGCCGGGCCCGGGGCCGGTCCCGCTGTCCCAGACCTCCGGGCAGTAGTGGTAAGGCTTTCCGTGGTGATGTAAATGTCCTCCTGGTTAAAGCTCGGCTCTCCGCGGGCTGCCACCTCCACGTGAGGGGCCACGGGGATGCACTTTTTGGCGTCCGCCTCGCAGAAGTAGGCGCTGTCCGTGATGAAGCCGGCCTGGCAGGGGACCAGGTCGGGATGCGCGTCGCCCTGGGTTACCCCTGCCTTGCTCTTCTGGCCCGGGGACAGGACCACACTCCCTGCCGGCGTGATGTCGCTCACCTGGGCGTAGAAGTCAATGTTGGCCAGTGGACTGGGACTGTGGAGCGGGGCGTGGGCAGCGTGGTGGGCTGACTCGGTGTCCCCAAGAAGAAGTGGTCTGGCTTTGCTCTCCTCTGCCAGGAGGACGCCGGGCTCCGGAGCTGCAGCGGGGGCATCCCTGCAAGGCGGGTTGTTTGGATTCTTCACATCAAGGCACAAGAGATCCGCTTCCCCTTTTAACCTCTGTGGCCGAGCGACCTCTGAGGTGGCGTCACCCACGTCACTGGCATGGAGATCGGCCTCCAGAATGTCAGGGTCGTAGCAGCTGGTCCGGCCCGAGTCGTCATCCTTCGCTCCCAGGATGTTGAGTAATTTCTCACAGTCATGGCTGAGGAGTCTGTCCGTGTCCGACCCTTCAGTCTTCTCATCCGGGTCGTCGATGTCTAGCTCAATGAATTCAACCCAGGAGTCATCATTGTAGAATTCAGGCTTGTAGTTGTCATGGATGGCTAAGATTGTGTTCACCTCTTCCAATTTTCCTTCCTAGGAAACAGAGAGAAAATGAAGATCTATGGAAAGACACTCACAGTGGTTAAGTGAGTTAATAAATAACATAAAGAGAATAACTACGGCTATAATAAAGGCATTAGTAACAGAGCTACAGAATAAAAATACATCCTAGTGAAGAACTTTTAAATATACAAGACATCATTTTAGAAGATGTAATATTACATTTTTTTCTTTCTAGAAGAGGTACAAAGAATGGAATGTGTTACATGTAGCTTGCAAAAGCTCTCAACACAAGACAATGTTCTACAGATATCATTCAATTAGTGTTATCTATAACTTAGATAATTTATTAATTACCTTGAAGAGACCTGGATCAATTCCTTTAATCTTTGGAACCGGAACCGGGGGCAGAATCAGCATCTTAATCCTTGAAGACAATTAAAATTTTGGTATGATATATCTTAAAAGTTGTATTCTTTCTTATTTCAAAAGATAGAAATAAAACAGTGGCAGTGCTATTATTTATTTTAAATATCCTACTCCTTTATAAGTGGAACATGAGAAAGAACACGAAAATAGTAAGCAGCAAATAATGATGAAAAACTATAGAAGGAAAAAAGAACAAAACAATAACAACAAAGCGCCCCTATTTGAAGTCAATTTAAATAAAACATGGCTTTCCTGTAATCTTTTTCCCCCCTTAATGCCTTTTATTGACAGCCAGCATTTGGGAGTGAGAAATTTGATTCCAGCTAAAGCCAATTTCCATTTCAGTTATAAGGAAGGTAATGTTAAAGCACTTCACACCAGTAATTTGCAGAGAAAAGGCAGGCAGGGACAGAAAGGGAGAGAGGCAGAGGGAGAGGGAGACAGGAAGGAAGGAAAGAAGGAAGGAAGGGATCGCCAATCCACATGGAGCCAAATTAGGGTGGACTCACATCAATTATGAGATTATATAAAATGACCTCATTAACACAGAGTCAATGCAGGGCTCATTTCAGTTGGGACAGACTACGTTTGAACTATTTCTAACTAATCTGTATTGATTTACACACACAATTCTATGACGCAGTTAAATTTTCTGTTCCATATATATATATATATATATATATATATATATATATATATATATATTTACCATGATTCATTTCAATATCTATGCTGCCTGTTTTGTGCCTTACTATATCACTGGAACTTAGGACTATTCTTGGCACCTAGGCAATGCTCAACAAACATTTCTTAAGTAGATTTGAATATATCATTTATCTGTTTTGTTACTAGTGTAACTGGAGGTTTTGTTTTTTCCCCCCCCTCACCCTAAGATATTTTTCCATTGATTAAAACACACACACACACACACACACACACACACACACACACACACACACACACATCTATCTATCTATATAAAATTGATTTTTTTACAGAGAGGAAGAGAGGGATAGAGAGCTAGAAACATCGATGAGAGAGAATTATCAATCAGCTGCCTCTTATACACCCTCTACTGGGGATGTGCCCGCAACCAAGGTACGTGCCCTTGACCAGAATCGAACCTGCAGGCCGAAGCTCTACCCACTGAGCCAAACCGGTCTCGGCTCCATTGATTTTTTAGAGAGAGGGAAAGACAGAGAAAAATATTGATGTGAGGAGAGAAACACATTGATTGGTTGCCTCCTGACCAGGGCTTGGGCCCGGGAGGAGCCTGCAACTGAAGTATGTATCCTTGATTGGAATTGAACCCAGGACCCTTCGGTCCTCAGGCCAATGCTCTATCCACTGAGCCGCTAAAGTTTGTTTTAAAGTCAACATTGTAGCTCTAGAATAAAGCTCAGAAATTAAAAATTCCAACCAACTCATTTTATCATTTACAAAAAACAAAAAACAACCAAATATCAGAGATGTTACCACTGGGCAGGAATGGCAGCCTGACTTTGGTTATCAGCTGATATTCCACTCACTGTGAATGCACAGCTTCGTCTCTTCCACAGGGAGCTCCTTTTCTGAATATTTCCTTTCCATTGCTTTTTTTTTTTTTTTTTTTTTTTTTTACCTAACTGAAGGGATAAACCAAATTCCATTTTATTAGTTGTTTTGACTAGCCTCCATTAGGATTACTCAGTGGGGCAAGTATGAAAGCCAACTGTTACTGATAAATACAAGATAAAGAAAGAACATAAATTATTAATGATAACTACCATGTTTTGCATGCCTCTGAGAAAGCATGTACTGATGGATGATACATCTTGCACTAAACTATGGGTCGGCAAGTTATGGCCCTTGGGTGAACCTAGTCTGCTTTTTCTGTTTTCTTTATAGTTTTTTTTTTTAAATTACGTTTATTGGGATGATGTTGGTTGATAGGATCACAGAGTTTCAGTGTAGATTTCTGTGACGAGATCTGCATATTGCACTGTGTGCCCCCCCATCCAAAGTTAAATCATCTTCCATCGCCATATGCCCTTTGTTTTTTATAAATAAAGTTTTACTGGAACACAGTCATAGTCATACTGTCTGTGGCTGCATTGGCTATGACAGAGACTGCATGACCCAGAGAGCCTGGACACTCAGCATTCGGCCCTTTATAACACTGAACATTCCATGCAGTCCTTACAACTGCCAGGGCGGGAGGTGGCATTCTGTGGAGAGATTCAGGGGCTTAGGGCAGGTGTTCAAGTCATGCACTAATATTTGGCACAGCTGGGCTCAACTCTGAATCACCAGGCAGCACGGGGCCTTTGCCTCTGTGGTGCCGCTCTTGTTCGGTCCTGCATCTCTAAATGGACGTTTCCAATGTTTGAAACACACAGAAACATACCATAACCCTAATCAGAGGCAGCAAAGAGCCCCAAGCGTCCAGCCCTTGGTTTTTATGCGTGCCTCCCTGTTGTGAAGAGGCTGACACGCTGAAGCACGTGTTGGCAGTTAGATTTCTAGGAACTGCGGCTGACCTGATGCAAGGGTGCCCAATCCTGTGCCCAATCCTGTGGCCCACAGGATGTCATAGAATGTCCTGCCTGTGAATGAAACAAGGCCGTGGGGCCGAAACCGGTTTGGCTCAGTGGTAGAGTGTTGGTCTGCAGACTGAAAGGTCCCAGGTTCGATTCCGGTCAGGGGCATGTACGTTGGTTGCGGGCACATCCCCGGTAGGGGGTGTGCAAGAGGCAGCTGGTCAGTGTTTCTCTCTCATTGACGTTTCTAGCTCTCTATCTCTCTCCCTTCCTCTCTGTAAACTATCAATAAAATATATTTAAAAAAAAAAAAGAAAGAAAGAAAGAAACAAGGCCGAGGGAATGCCACCGGGAGAGATGGGCATGGTGACAAGCCAGAGAATGCGTGCCCTTCCCAAATGGGGCAGCCGGGCCCTGCTTTGGCATATGTTGCCAGAGAATCCTATCAATCTAGTCTCCTAGATCTTTCAGTTTTTAAAGACAACCTGGGAACACAAATTTCTGAGTGAAAATTCTATATTTTTGTAAAACACTCTGTAGGGAAATCTTTACTTCCAAATCAAAACAACACCCAATAACTGCTATTTCATGCTGATTCTGTTCTTTTTTTTCCTGATTAGTGACAGTGCCAAGGCTGGGGGGTGAGTCGTATGGTGGGAGCCACAGAGTCTACCATGGAGATGACCTTGGCATGAAACTATGTTTGGGACTCTGCTATCCTCTTATTGAAATCCAAGGCACAGTTCACATTTTGCGAGCGTGGATTCAATTATCCCGACTTTAAAAAGAAGGGGATTCAAAACTTCAAGCAAAGACTCAACATCGCCAGCTAATGTCAAGGCTCTGGGAAGGCTCACAGGCACCTCCGTCTAATTACTATTTTAATTGCTAGAACCACATGTTCTTCCCACACCTGCTGACAAGTGGGGTCTACCATTTCCTACTTTCATTAAATCATGGAAATTTAGATGACGATAAGAATTTTATGGGCAAATGAAAGAAAACATGTAATTCTTTTCTGCAAAGCACTTATGTTAGCACAGGAAATCTAGAAGTACAAAACCATTTCTAAAACTGTTGCAAGTTGATGGTTTTGACCAAACGTTATCGTTAACAACTTCATCATTCGTAGAAAACACTCTTCTGATAGAGGTTAATATTCTTACTTTAAAATCCTATGTAAAAAAATATTTTTATTAATTTCAGAGAGGAAGGGAGAGGGAGAGATAGAAACATCAATGAAGAGAATCACAGATTAGCTGCCTCCTGCACACCCCCTAGTGGGGAATCGAGCCCACAAACCAGCATGTGCCCTTGACCAGAATGGAAACCCAGGATCCTTCAGTCCGCAGGCGACACTCTATCCACTGAGCCAAACCTGTTAGGGCTGAAACCCTATTTTTGGAGAGTGCTATTTTTTCTTTTAAATACTATTATCTAATATACTTAAACTATCTAACATTTATTTAGCTTTCACAATGACTCAACATCGCCAGCTAATGTCTACAGGAAATTACTTTATATACATCAGGGTTTTATTGGCTGCTGTTCTGTATAAACTACCCTTTCAACTGTACAGATCAATGAATTAAAATTAATCAACAAAATAATTTGACTTCTTTGTTATTGGTATTACTTAAACATATAAATTACTTAAAGGTCTAAAAATGTTTTTAGCCTAGCTGGGGTGACTCAGTGGTTGAGCATTGACCTATGAACCAGGAAGTCATGGTTTGATTCCAGGTCAGGGCACATGCCCGTGTTGTGGGCTCGATCCCCAGTGTGGGGTGTGCTGGGGCAGCCAATCAATGATTCGTCTCATCACTGATGTAAGAACACTGGCAATCAGAATCAGTAATTTTCCCTATATGTTGTGTGAAAGTTTCTTGAAGTCTGCACCGGGTTTCTTTCAGGAAGAAGCATAGACTACAGATCTTACAACCCCAGGGAAATTTAATGGTCACAGAATTGAACATAATCCCCATGAGAACACGAAGACCCAGAGAAGTTAAGGGATCACCCAGGTCAAACACAGTGGCAGAATAACATTTGGAACCCGAGTCTTTCACCGCCCAGAGAACACAGACAGGACTCTCCGAACTTAGAAAGAATTTAGGCTGTGTTGACACATGCGTTTGAAATCACAAATCAATAAGTATCCAAATAATTTAGTAGAAGTTTAAAAAAAATAATTTTATTCATTTCAGAGAGGAAAGGAGAGGGAGAGATAGAAACATATGATCAGCTGCCTCCTGCATGCCCCCCACTGGGGATCAAGTCCACAACCCAGGCATGTGCCCTAGGCCGGAATTGAACCTGGGACCCTTCAGTCCGCAGGTGGACTCTTTATCCACTGGGCCAAACTGGCCAGGGCAGTATCCACATAATTTAAATAAAACTTGAAATTACTTGAAATTGCCAGGGGTGTATTAGATGGGTGTACCTCAGTGGCTTTCGATTGCCACTTCACTTTGCTTGTCCATCAGATTAGGAAGGCGTGAAGCTCAGCCACAGGCACAGAGCTCCCCATGGTCTCGTGTGACCTTGCTCAGGACTGTGAAGGGGTTTGGAGGTGGTGGCTCTGAGCAACAGCCTTGTTAGGAGGCGGATAGCCAGGCAGGCAGCCCCTAGCCCTCCATGTCCCACACGCATCCCAGAGAGAAGGCCAGCCTGCGAACCTCTCTGATGCACACCCTGAAGTGGTAAATATATAACTGGAGGTGACATTTTCTTGGGTTAATTACGATTTTCACTCATGATTTGCAAAAGAAAAACACACCAAGTAACGAATGGAAAAACACATGGAAATCCAAACAACGGGCAGAAACATGAAGGCAGACTATGTCACACCTACCTCTGCTGCTTCGAAAACATGAATAAAAATATCACCGTCAGCCCGAACATTCCAAAGATAATAATTAAGAACCACGGAAACCGGAAATCTGAAACACAGGAGAACAATATCTCACTCACAGGATTACCAAGAGCTGAAGTTGACATTGCACTTTCTTTTTTCACATAAACACACTCCCTAATTTGTATTCGTTAGCAGTCAGTGATTTCACAGATAACCACTGAAAAACAGAACACAGCGATTTAGAATAGAGGTCTGTTCTGTTCCAAGGACACGTCTCAAAATCCTTTCACATTAAAAACAATAATCAAAACAAACAGCACACAGCTTAAGCACAGCCCATGTTATAAGGAAACACTGCTGCATGTGTCTCGTATGTTCAGGGTGTCACTGGAGGCTTCAGCTCCAGCAAACAGGGCTGCTGAGCAACATGGGACTTTACTTCAAAACTATCTAATTGGTTCCTTTTTTTAAAGGGGTGTTGAGAGTTTTTATCCTCCAGACTGAGAATCTATCCGAAAGACGGGGACAGAGTTTTTTATTTTATTTATCATTTTTAGTATTTTTATTGATTTCATAGAGGAAGGGAGGGGGAGAGAGAAACATCAATGATGACAGAGAAACATCAATGATGACAGAGAATCACAGATGGGCTGCCTCCTGCACACCCCCTACTGGGGATTGAGCCTGCGACCCGACATGTGCCCTGATCGGGATTTGAACTGTGACCTCCTGGGTCCTAGGTTGATGCTCAACCACTGAGCCACGCTGGCCAGGCAGAGTTTTTATGTTTGAACCACAAAGGAAACTTTTTAGACTGGCAGAGCTAATCATTTCACAGCTTCAAAAACTCCTTGGAGAGGAGATCTCTACGGGGGATCCCTCCTTCAGATTTTCATAAACTCTGGGGCAGATTTCGGGAATCGGTTTGTACAACTTCTGCCTTATTCCTTAAAAACAAGTGCTGGCAGCTGGTTTCCAGCCTGCTTACCACCCTGGCGGCGGTTCACCGTGTTTTAATTTAAAAAAGGCAGGTGCTACTTACTTTACCATCGCCTTATTAAAAGGAGGCCTTTATCCTGTCATATGCTTTCCTTATTTTAATGTTCTTGTTCACTTACTGAGATGGCGCAGGGAGATATTAGGGCTGCTATGGAGAACCAGTGGGAAAGAGAACACCACTTGTGTCCGGTGGCATTTTTAGTTTTATATCAGTGACATGTTCAGGAACATAACATAAAGCCGGTGCTTTGCTTTCTTCTTCTTCTTCTTCTTCTTTTTTTTTTTATAACATGGAAGAAGAAGTCAGTTAAAACAATCTATGTTAAGCGAATGAAATGCCATCTCAATAAGCTTAAAGGGCGGGTGGCAAGTGTGTTTTATGAACCAGAATTTCATCATATCAGATTGTTTGAAACAGCAAGCCTGTTAAATAGAGCTTAGGGGAAAAATGTGGAGTTATGGACATTTTGACTCAAGTGTTATTTAGTATCATGGATTCTCCCTGTACGGTAAACGTAGAAATACACATTTCATTTCTCCGTAGCCTGTGGTTGTTCTTTAACAAACCTCAGCTCCTCCCAAGGCCCGTAAACCTTGTCCTTAATGGAGATGAGCTATAGGCCATTCTCATTTGGGAGTGATAACATTTTATGCATTTAATATCAAGCAGCCTTCTTGATTCCTGTACGCCAACACTTGAGTTCTCTTATTATGAATTTATAGGCTTCATGTCTTTAAGTGTTCATTATCTTTGTATCTCTCTTGTACGCGATATCCAGATATTCCAGGCCATTCTCAGGCATAACTGGCTACTTACTCACGAAGACTTCTGTAGATATGGGGGAGGGGGGAAGGAGATATATGTACTACTATATGTAATACATTAAACAACAATAATAAAAAAAGACTTCTCCAGGTAAAGCCACACTCAAACTTTCTACCATCAAACAGCACCTGCCTGTGCTGACTCAGTATTTGGTTTCTTCTTAGATGCCACATCATGCATCTGCCTTACAGATGCAGAATTTCTCATTATATATTTGAAAGCTATTTTTTTTTCTTCTGGTTACAAATGCAAACAGCTCACTGTAGCAAATCTTAGAATTACAGAATCACCTGAAATTCTGATTATCTGGAGATAACCCTCATTAACACCTTCCCCTCTATAACTTGCACCTATCCTGAATTAAAGGATGCAAACACTAAATCGTCCTGCTTTTTAATGGGCTATACCTGCTCTACATCACCCTAACATTAGCTGCTATTGTGTCTTGATTTGGACAGCATCCTAACACAGTTCAGGGAATGCATCACTATATATCAACAAAAGCCACGGCGGCTGCCACGTTAGTCTTTCATTTTTACCTTCTTCACATGCCACTGGGCTCATCTGAGGAAGTGTGACATAGAGGACCTCACTGAACTCGCCGTACTTCTCTGAACTTCGTTGTCTGCATCTCACGCGCACTTCGTACTCTTTATCTAGTCTCAGTGAGTACACTGGAACGGATGTTGACAGCACAGGGTCCATCTTTCAAGACAAAACATAAGACTTATGGGTTAGACAGCCAACAAGCAATGCCATAAACTCTCCAAGGTTCATCTGTATTCATCTGTAAAGTAGGTAATATTTTGAAAATGCACTGGGTGGTTGCTATTTAAAGAAAGATCAAGGCAAATAACTTTACAAAGAATCGTATGTTCTACGGACAACAGGCCTCAAACTTATTTTGGTATAAATCCAGAGATCCTAAGATCAAAGCATAATAAAATTATTATGGAAAAATGACAGAACTATACAGAAGACTACAGGCATGTTTGCCTACCCTTTGTGATATCATAGTTTTGTATGAAAACATAAGAACAGAAAAACAAACCATAGTTATCCTTTGGAAATTCTGGGTAGTCATTCATATGATCAAAGAATTGGAAGGGGTCTTAGGAAAATTATAGTTGTCTTAATTGAACTTTCTCTCTCTCTCTTTTTTTGTTAATCCTCACCCAAGGATATGTTCCCATTGATTTTAGAGAGAGTGGGAGAGAGAGAAAAAGAGCGAGAGCGAGAGCGAGAGAGAGAGAGAGAGAGAGAGAGAGAGAGAGAGAGAGAGAGAAATACAACAATGTGAGAGAGACACATTATCGATTGGTTGCCTCTTGTATGCTCCCTAACCAGGATCAGGGATGGAGCCTACAACCAAAGTACATGCCCTTGACCGGAACCGAACCAAGGGCCCTTCCGTCATCAGCCAATGCTCTATTCATTGAGCCAAACTGGATAGGGCTTAATTGAACTTTCAAATAATTCTAGTAAAAGCAGTTACATACAGAACCTGCATATTCTAGAAGGTTCAAAGCCACCCCCAAATAATGTGCTATTCAAAATCTGCAAAGAGCCGAAACCGGTTTGGCTCAGCGGTAGAACGTTGGTCTGCGGACTGAAAGGTCCCAGATACGATTCCGGTCAAGGGCTTGTACCTTGGTTGCGGGCACATCCCTGGTAGGGGGTGTGCAAGAGGCAGCTGGTCAATGTTTCTCTCTCATCAACATTTCTAGCTCTCTATCTCTCTCCCTTCCTCTCTGTGAAAAATCAATAAAATATATTTAAAAAAAAATCTGCAAAGAAAAGTCACAGAAGTGCTTGGTAATTAACACCAGGGTCCCATAAGCCTTAAGGCCAGGATGTTCTTTTTCCCTCCAGAGAAGGGCCGGTGAGGCTATTACATGTTTAAGTCATGCCAGTATCCCAGAAGCAGATCCAGTCAGTGAGGGTGTTCTCTAAGGCAAACATTCAGACTAAGCACTCAGTATGTGCTTTTCGTATATTTCCTGGTAGAACATGCCGTTCCTGTTTATAAAAGGCTAGGAACACTCACCTTTTCAACAGCATAGATCTTTCACATAAATATTCTCCTAATTTGTTTTGCTAAGTCAGAAGCTGGACCTTCATTTTCTAAAACAAATTCTCCTTTCACCTCAGTTAGTTGCTACTCACAAAGTATCTCTCCAGTGTTCCCCTGTGGACACGGGATGGTAATTTTGCACCGTGTAGAGACGCTTCTCAATGTATGGAATGTTGCATGCCTAAAAGGCTTTTTGAAGGTGGAATTCTGCATATTAAACTTATTGTTTTTCTTGAAATATTTTAAAAGCCCATGTTTTCATTCCTAATGCCCTAATTTCTCTGCTACTGCCACCAATGTTACTTCTTTACAGGTTTTACTAATAACAAAAGCAGACAGGGGCGCTCAGTGATAGGACCCATGCCCTCTCTCCATCCTCTCTCAGCCTCCACACCCGGCACACCACACCCCATCTGCTCACACACCACCTGCTCAGACCGCTCCCACCGCCACACGGAACTCTGCCACCTGCCTGCGAGGGAATGCCTTCTTGGCCAAGCCTAAGCATTAAGCATTGCTGAAATTCTAAGGAGTCTTTCCTGACACTTTCCCTACCCCCCTCCCAGATGATGCACACCATATATTACTTCTGGGTTTTCCTGCTCAGATTTCTATATTAGACTGCAAATGCTCTCAGGGCAAACAATGCCTTCATTATTTTAGGTATACAGTGGGGGAGCAAGAGGTGGCCCATACACTGCCACTTATTAAGTCCTAAAAGGAAACCACCAATCCTTAACTTGTTAAGGATTAAGTCCTAAAAGGAAACCACCAATCCTTAACTTGTTAAGGATTAAGTCCTAAAAGGAAACCACCAATCCTTAACTTGTTAAGGATTAAGTCCTAAAAGGAAACCACCAATCCTTAACTTGTTTAGCAGGTAAACAGTGTAAGCAACTACATGGTCATTAGTATTACTTTTATATTAAAAATGCTTTTAATTACAAAAAAAAAGCCACAGCAATTCCAAATTCAACATTGTCAAGTGGTAACATGAATTCCCGATCTAAGCAAGAAACACGAGCCTCTTTCCCTTCTACTCACAAACCTCTCCTCTTTTTACCTTAGGACAGTGGTCAGCAAACTCATTAGTCAACAGAGCCAAATATCAACAGTACAACGATTGGAATTTCTTTTGAGAGCCCAATTTTTTAAACTTAAATTTCTTCTAACGCCGCTTCTTCAAAATAGACTCGCCCAGGCCGTGGTATTTTGTGGAAGAGCCACACTCTAGGGGCCAAAGAGCAGCATGTGGCTCGAGAGCCACAGTTTGCCGACCACGGCCTTAGGACATTCGTGCTCATAACCCATTTGACTGAGAGTTTCTTCCAGAGAGAGGGCGATTCTTATGAACAGGCTCTTGATATTCACGACCACTTTATCTGAGAACCTTGCAAACGGCAAACCTTACAAATATTTTGAATATGTAACCTCACTCATAGAAGGCAAGTAAACATTCACTGACCCCTTGGAACTATCTACTGTGACGCTAACCAGGGTACCATGAAGAGTGTGATGAGGCTTTGTTGGGAGACAGCTCTGAGCATCACTGACTGAGTGCACCTAGCTCAGAGCTCAGGATGTAAGCTGCCAACTTATGCTGTGGCTGAAACATGACTACGTGCCTGGGTCTTTTGGGCTTGAAACTATGATCAGAAAATGAATAAGTTCTAACATTCTATGTACATCTCTGTTTTTAGCTTGCCAAGCTTTTTAGTCTCAGGATTCTTTGACACTCTTAAAAATTATTGTGAATTGTAAAGATTTGGATTATACTATCATTATTTACCATTACTGCCATGCTTGGTACTAAGGTGGCCTCGGTTTCCCCACCATTGCTTTTGTACCATCAGGGCAAATCTCGCCACAGTGAAAAAAAAAGAAATAACATTTTAGTATTATTATGAAAGTGGTCTTGACATTGTAACTGGCTGAAAGGGTCTCAGGGACCATTGGGGTCTACAGTACCTGCTTTGAGATCGCCTGCCCTGGGGGACCTGGCCCCGTGCCCCGGGTACAGTGGTTATTTCAATCCCTGCTGGCTGGCTACATGTTTGATGAGCTTGGATTCAGAAAGTCTCGCTTGACTCAGCATCCAACCAGGCTTTTTATACACCAAGTTACAGAATGGATATCTAAGTTAAAACGATGCCGAAAACAGGACCTCAAAGCCCAATGTTTAACTGCACAAAGCTGCCCCACATTTAGCTTTCCGTCGGTGACAAAACCAGCTGCTTCTTCAGCAGATCCCTGAAGGGACAGGGCCCGGTGTCTGAAGAGTCGGCAGCGAGACTGTGCCAGCCGCTGGGCATGACTGATGCCCGGCCAGAAACCACTGGACTTGGCCGGGGCTGTGGCTGTGGTTAGACTGATTTAGAATTAGTTATATTGGGAACAGCATGATAATCCTGTTTTCCTTCGTGCTGTGTGCCATGAGGAATTTATCTAAGTGCCCGGTTCCCACACGCTTGGCAAGGAAGCGAGGAGTTCAGAGGTCAACCAGTACCATGCTCCTTGCAGACTTAAAAACCTCTTAGCTTGATTGTCCCCTGAGGTATTTAACCAAATATCCCTCTGAAGCCTCGAAAGGGCACATTCCCTCCCTCCGTTTCCCTCCTCGAGTCACTTAAGAACTTAATTTAACGAAGCTCTTGTAAGAAGGAGCAGCAACTAACATCATGGGAGAATATTTAGCCATTGCTCACTGTTGACCTTGATCATGACCCTTCCCATGTTTAGCCACATCCCCAAAGACAGCTAAGGGGCTAGAGTATTCAAGTTTGTTCTAAAGTTAAACTGGACAGCAAGGATGACTGGGGACACAGTAGCCTTTCCCTTCCAGAGGCTTCCATAGAAGCTCCATGCTGTTGGACAGGACCTCAAGAGGATATTTTTTTTCTGATTATTTTCCTCCAGTAAGAAATGACGCAGCATATAGCATGGACATGCAGTACTAGGTCCAAAGGACATATATCCATGGGAGGGGGTGTCGAAATAAAAGGAAGCCAATTCAAAAGGTTTCCGGTGTGATCTGTAATGCCATCTTACCATTTTCCACTGGGTCTCATTTATCTCCTTGTATTGCAGCTCGTACTCCAGGACGATCCAGCCTTTCTGAACGTCTGCGTTGGGTGGCGGCTCCCATCTCACCTGGATATCCGCGTGAATCCCCGTCAGGCTTGTGTTCAGCAAAGTCCAGTTGAGGCCGGTGGGTGGATCTGGTTGTACTGTGCGTTTCAATGGAGAGTTAGTACACGGCTGGGTAGTGACGGAATGCTTTCTTCTGAAGAGACCACGTTACTTTACACATTTCATTAGTCATACTCCCAACTCTTCTAATAGTCCTATCAGTCTATTCTCACTTTATTAGAGAGCACCATTTTTTTTCTCTTAAGGGTAATCTGTGTTTAACTTTGACAATCCCCGCTAAAAGTCCTTTTTGAGTTTGAAGTCTGAACGATAACTTTTCTTAAAGATCTTCTGGGTTTTGCATTTCTCTGAGCTCCGATAGAATGAATGCTTTGGGATTTGGCAAAGGGATTCATGCTAACGAAGGAACAGAGTCAGCAAGACCTGGCACTGACATACGTGGCTGTATTAGGAACTCGGGTAGAGGGGCCTTCTGTGCTATTTGTCATTTTTGGAATGGAGTAGTTGTTGGAAGACACTGTCCATCTGGTACCCCTGGCACCCCCACTCATGCTTTAAAGAGCAACTGAACTGTCACCATCTCTGTGCAGCCCTTCCTCAGTCAATCATTTCACCTCTGGCTCCCACCTTGGCTGGCCATGTGTCCCACACACCTGGAGTCCAGCACCCACTATGGCAGTTATTTATTATTTATTGCAATTATTTGTCAACATGCCTGACTCTCCAACTTGACTGTATGTTATTTATTCTTTAGCCACCACACCTGGGCATAGTGCCCAATTAGTGTCCGGCTCATGGGTGGCACTCAGTGACATCAGCCAGGTAAAAGAGTGGGACTGGCAACTGGCAGACACAGGGCCAGGACATGGGTCTTGACCCAGGATTCTTACCACTACCCATTTAGTCACTCCATAGCTACACTGATGCATGTTAGGACATATACTCAGTAGTCTCTCTAGCCTATGTAGTTTCTGTTTAACTTTCTTTTCTGCTTAACTTTTCTTAATTTTCTCCCTCAAAGTCAGGCTATCAGATCTACTTGTTTCTGTCTGCAGCTTCTAGCCACTTTCTCTCTGTCTCTTTCCATTTGCTGATGCCTGGAAAACCAGACGAGAACAGCCCATCGGAGAGAAGCTCCAAGGAGTTCCTATACATAACAGATGAGCTTCTGTGGGTAGATTTGAGGCACCGATGTCAGCTACTCAAAGTCCTTCTTTGACTTTTTCTACTTAGCTATTTATACTACTATAGTTTAAACATCCTAATTATAGCTGCTTGTGTTCTTTTGTTGCATTTCCCCTGTGTCTGTCTGCAGCTTAGTTCACTGCGCTGATTATCTCCAATGTTTGTCTGAGATTTTATAAATATGTCTTTAAATGAAACTGGGCTGTTTTGTAAATGTAAAACTCCTGAGTTACCGTGCTTTGTGTTAAAAGAAAATCTAGGCACTTATTAGAGCAATGGAAGAGATGAAGGCCAAGCTATATCAGTAGATATGAATATAATAATCATATTGAATGATTAAGAGAGAGGGAATCTTAAGAGTACATTGAGCTTGCCCCCTACAGTGGCATACAATCCAATCCAACTAAAGATCTCCTCAAAGAAGGCTCCCATTCTTCCTTTTTCAAGACTTGCTGCCAGATTCTCTTACAGTAGAGCCAATTTAAGTCCCCCTCGCCCCCCTTCTTGTTCAGCAGCTGATCTCATGCTCGGTCAAGTAGACCTCCATCCACCTGTCGAGCACAGGGTCAAGGTCTTCCTACACAAATACACTTGAACGTTGTAGACCTCCCGCTTACTTAATCTAAAGCCATGTCAAATGAAACACAAACCTGTGATTTACCTATTTCCTCGACAGAGAAGCACTTTTGATCCACAGTACCACCATTGCTAGTGAGCTTGATGCAGTAGGGCACCCAGATGGAGGTATACGATGTGTTAAAGTAACAGCTGTTTTCCCCTGCAGAGACGTAATCAGGGCATTCTTTCCATTCTTGAGTCCATTCTTGAGTGTTCCTGAAATGGAGGGTAAAAAAAGGATGAATTGTTCCAAAACCATGCTATCGCTCAAGTCAAAGCGAGATGCCTGACAGTCAGATTCAATGAACAGGAACATAAATATTTATGAGCAAGTACTTTAGTGACACCATTTCCAAGATGTATCACATTCGTAGGCATCGTCAGGGTCTGCAGAAGGATCAGGGGCCCTCTGGTACCTCTGCCAATAGTAAGAACACCTACTCACTGACTGCATGTAACCTTCCAGCTCCTAAGCCAAATGATTCATTGGTAGGTGGTTTATTATCCTCATTCTACAAAGGAGGGTTCTGAGGCTTAGGGAGGTTGAAGAATGTCCTTCATTAAAACACAAGAGACAGTTAACTAACTGCCAAACGGTAGAGATTCCCAGAGAACTGTGAGTCCTTAATCCTGGGTGTTTCTCCAACTCCTGGTGGAAGGAACCAGGGCACGTGGATGGCATTCTCCAGGCTTTGAGTAACACTCAGGTGCAGGTGACTTTGAGGTTGAAAATCGGTTACCACTGTTCTCTGGACCACTGTGTCCCATGTCTACCTCCCCATGGATGTCCTATGCTTGAGAGTTTTCCTGATGCCTTGAACTCCTTCCTATACTTCTGATTTCCACCCTTAATTATAAGAAGAAGAGCCATGAGAACATTTCAAACACACAGGACATTCCAGTGACATGCAGAGAACATGCAATCCTAGCCTCTTCTCCCCTACCCCTGAAAGAGACAGAAGGCATGAACCCAGAAATCTAAAAGTCTTCCCAAACCCAGAAAAGCATTTTTCTCTTCCATTTTGTAACTAGCAATTGACATTTAATGACAGATATAGAAAAAAAGGGGGGGGGGAAGGGGGAGGGACAAACATGGGTTGAAAGGAATCAATGCATTTCCTTATGAGTTCCTTTTTTTTTTTTTTTTTTTTTTTTTTTGGTTTCTCCACAGGCAAGTTCCTCTTTTCCTAGCCCTTGGATCAGATGAAAACAAGCAAACGAACAACATGGGGCATTGGTGGGGGGTGGGGGGTAATGGGGGGAATAAGGTCACATATGTAAAAAAATAAAATAAAAAATTAAAAACAAAACAAACAAACACACAAATGAACAAAGCATGGAGGACAGACGGATCCACGAAGAACACCGAGTCAATAAGGGAGCAGGGTCTTCCCATTTGCCTTCCACCACGGAGTTACCCATCTCTGACCCCCTCAGCAGAGAGCACCATTTACCCAGATGATTGCAAACCACAGCAAGGCGTGCACTGAATGGAAGAGAGATGCCAGGAAGTTCACTGCAGACAAAAGCCAGAGTTTTGGGAGAGGAAATTCCCTGGTCTGCTGCCATGGGGACCTGAACAAAACTGCAGAGCAATCACAGCACCGCTCAGACCCGTCTCCCGCAGCGGGAATAGTGTAGACACGTGACAGGAGGCAACACTGCTCTCTCAAGTCCCATCTGTCTGCCTGGCTGACTGAAACCAGCGTGCCATCTTTGGGGCCTGCTAGGCAAGCACCACATAAGCGTTAGTTACATCCAGCATTAGCAATGTGGGGACGGGATAATTCATAAGATTCGGTCCCTACCTTTAGGTTGGAGAAAGAACTAGAAATGATCATCTCAGTACTTTTTTGGTCTCCTGCATTCATTCCATTGATATTTAATAGGCATCGATTATGTATAGAATATTGTGCTGGGCATACGGGAAAGTCATGTGTGCCTAAGGAGTTACTCTTGCCTCAGGGGTATGATTGAAAACTGTGTTATAAAGGAGTGTGGGTAAGTGCTGACTAGGCTCCCAAAGAGTCCAGAAGAGGGAATGATTGCTCTGGTCGTTCACGGAAGGCTTCAGGGTGGAGGTGGTGTTTCTTAGCAATCCTGAAGGGTGGGTAAAGTTTAATAGATGGCAATAGGGGAAGGAAAGGAAGGAGCAGGGTGGTCCAAGGCATTTAGGGGAAGAAGTATGAGAGTTAATGTAGTGAGGGGCACAGGAGGCAATGGAATAACTGAGAAGTACTTAAATTAGAAATGCTAGCTGTGTGGAGTGAGTCCTTATTAGTTTATTCTTCACTAGGGCTATCCGCTTGAGAAGAAGGTTTATGAATCAAGGGGACATAGAGCCAGGGAATCTGTGGCAAGGGAAATGGGCAGCAGGAGTGGCCCCGTGCAGCCCCAGGTGTGGGGCCGGCAGGTGGAGGTCTGTGAGTGGGGTAGGGGTGGGGCGGCACTGTGGGGAAGGCAGGGCCTGGGAGGAAGGGATGAGGCACCGGGGAAGACACAGGCTTCCTCCTTTCCAGCTATTTCTCAGGCCGGTCTGTTGGCACCAGGAGAAAACTTGTGCAATATCAGGAGGTCCTTGGGACAGCTGCGCATCAGCTGTTGGAAGAACTTGGGAATTCAAGTGGCAGAAACACCAGGGTCCCAGACAGGGAACCATATCGCTTACATTCTGGTTGAGTTTCTTAAGAGTTGCAAGCCCTCGGGTGAGAGGAAGACTCAGCTCGGATGGGAAGGATGTGGGTAGAAGCCAGGATAAGCCATGTATGTATGTGTGCATTTATAGTGGGAAAATTTTTTTTAAAAATTAGGACTAGGTGGGTCATTGAACTATAATACGGTTTATTGTATCTTGAGTTTAAAACTGAAAATAACAGTACACAAAAAGCAATGGTTTAACCAGAGAGCCCAGGGAATGAGGCTTCCATACACGGGCAGAAGGGATAAACAATGCATTTAGCATCCCCATAGTATCAAAGTTGGTATTAAAATGTCCTAAAGATGTGGGCCACTGCTCGCCAGGTCTGGATTTGATCCAGAGAAGTTACCTCTGTGTGTTCCACAGCTTCTCAACATGGGTATGCCAGGCCCCTGTCCCCTAGGGACCACAACCCCTCTTTATTTAAAAAAAATATTTTATTGATTTTTTTACAGAGAGGAAGAGAGAGTGAGAGAGAGTTAGAAACATCGATGAGAGAGAATCATTTATCAGCTGCCTCTTGCACACCCCCCCACTGGGGATGTGCCTGCAACCAAGGTACATGCCCCTGACTGGAATCGAACCTGGGACCTTTCAGTCCGCAGGCCGACGCTCTATCCACTGAGCCAAACTGGTTTTGGCACACAACCCCTCTTTAGATGACCCCAAATCCATTAGCTCCAAAGCACATACACCTGAAGCATGATGGGTCAGGAGCCTCTTCCAAACACAGCTCCCAACCCCCACCTTCATGAACCCAAGCTGAATTTTGCTTTAAAGAAATATTTAACATTTATTTTTAAATGATTACATTTAGACAAAAAAACCCAAGTGGACTCACAAAATAGGCATTCTGCCGCCTGCCTTCACTGGGGTGAGAGTCTACACAGCTACTCCCTCCTCTTACTCCCCAAGGTAAGTGCTTGAGGTCACTCCCAGCCTAAATCGTGAGACAGGAGTGAGGACTAGAGAGATCAATGCCAATCAGAAGAAAGAGCAGAAGAAATGCTTTCCACCTACAGGCAATCAACTGGAAAAGAATAAAACATCACTTACATATTAAGGGCAACTGTTTTCATTACATACCTAAGAGCATGTGTTTTAAGCTTAAAATGTAACCTTTTCCTTAGAAAAGGACAGGAAAGTAACATGTCCCTTCTAATTTCCCCCACGACCTGGCATGGGAGAGAAACTTTCTTTTATTTTTTAAAGTATATTGTTATGAATTTCAGAGAGGAAGGGAGAGTGAGAGGGAGATAGAAACATCAATGGTGAGAGAAAATTATTGATCGGCTGCATCCTACACGCCACCTATTGGGGATTGAGGCCACAAATTGGGCATGTGCCCTGATGGGGATTTGAACCTGGTTCATAGGTCAATGATCAACCACTAAGCCACACCCAGCTGAGCAAAAATGTCTTTTTAAAAGGCCAGGATATGAAGGAGGGGGGATGGGAGAGGTGGAGGGATACCACCTTGGGGATTTGCTCTTCATGTGCCCACTTCCTTGAGGAGCGGAGGGCACAGCATGTCTGCTGGACTCAGAGCCGCCTTTGGCGGTGCCTGTGGAGTCCCCTCCAGGCACCGAGGGGACTGTGGCACTGTGTGCATTACAGGGGGACAGAGACTGGCCTGGAGGGACTGCCCTCCTCCAGCCCACCTGGGGAGGGGGTTCCAGCTGCCCCGCTCTGGCCTGTTGACAGACAGCCCACATGTTTAGGTTCCCTTGGCCCTTACTGGTAGTTACCAAGGCCGGGCCCCTCTGCTGCTCTGGTTCTGTGTGAAATCATGTCTCCGCTTTATTTGGGTGTCAGGGATGGAGAGTCATGAGTCTGTGGATCCTGGAGCTGCCTGGGAACTGACTTCTGAGAGACAGTGACAAGAGTCAGGGTGCACGGCTGTTGTCCTGCTAGTCATCTGTTCTCTCATCCGGGCAGCTAATCCTAACCCTCCCTACCCTTCAGTCTGCCCTTCCCAGATAAACTGATGGAGCTTATGCTATTTTGGCCGAGATATTAAAAATAATTATATTTTTACAGAAAAGACACAAAATGCTGACTTTAACCGGTTTAAATGGCAGGAATCCCAAGGTTCTGCTTACTTAGGGGGTTTGACGAGGTGATCATTTATCTTCCCTTCATCCCCCACCCCTCACCCCCAAACTCCACGGTGGCCCAAACTAATGGTGCTCTTCTGTGGATGTTGGAGATCTCCCTCCACCTGGTCCACTTTCGTGGCTTCCTGCTGGCAAGAGCCTGGGCTGGGCTGAGGGAGGCCGAGGGGCCTGGAGGCCCTGCCCTAGAGGGGAGGGACAAACATGCCAGTGTGAAGGCTCCACCCTGGGGGATTAGCCTTTTAGTTCAGGTTAAATTTGGTGAATGCTAGGCTCATGAAAACCCATTTTCATGAAGTGGGCCCATGTCCGCTCCTCTCCATTCGTGTAGTTAACTGTCCTGGATTACGGATAACTGGCTTAGTTTTTTTTTTGTTGTTGTTGTTTGTTTGTTTGTTTGGTGTCTTTCTGTGAGCATTACAAATGAAAGTTGATTTTCTAAAAGTAAGAATGTTGTAGATGTAATTTACTTAGAGGATATTTTTCCTTACATGATATTCTATTTCCCTCTTTTAAAAATTTAAATATTAAGAGGCTTTTGGAAATTTTATAATGTAGACTTGATAGCTTTTAAATTTTAATTTTTTTGCACTAAAATATGACTGTTATAGGTTCATTACATGTTACATAATTTTACCATGAGATGAACTACCAATAAAAATTTTAGTTTTTTTATTGGTAGTTAACTGGCTTAGTTTTAACTGAGCTGGCTCTCTGAGGTGCTGAAGCGAAAGCATGAAATGGAGCCTCTGAAATCCCTCTCTCTTTTCTGAACACAACCCACAGATATTGAAAAGTGTTACCAAACATTCTCGCTTCCTCGTCCCGAATATAAATCAGCTTTGGCTGCTGGCCCTTCCCTCTCTGCAGTGGCAGCGTTAACAAAGCAAACAAGAAAAGAGCATTTGGTACCCAACCATCTCATCTTTGCTCTGTCTTAGAGCACTAGTTAAGTATACAATTTTACCTATATGTTCCCAAAAATTCTAGTTTAGCACTTCTTAGTTGGGATTCAGGAATCTGTAGTTTAACAACTCCGCCAGGTGATTCTCATCATGAGAGAAGTTTGGGAAACACTGGTGTACAGTATAATAGGCAGCCTCCATGTATTGCATCATCGCCATGTGCCAAGCATTGTACTAAGTGCATTTCACGTGTTTGCTAATAAAACTCTCATCAGAAGCCACGAGGCAAGGCCCATTAGCTCCGCTTTGCAAAAGAGGCAGCTGAGCTTGGACAGACTGACCCATCTGCCCGTATCACTTGGTGAGCGAAGGCCAGAGCCAGACTGGACGCAGCTGTAGGCCCTGAGCTCACGTCCTTAGCTGCTCACAGCACCTTCCTTCCCTCTCCCCGCTGCTCCGTGAAGATAGGGTCCTGCGAACCTTGCATCTTGCTTAAGCATTCCTTGGGTTTGGGTGGAAAAGAGGAGATGATTCAGTGCTTGAGCCCCCCATATTAAAAAGCAAGCACAGAGGTACAACTTAAGAGTAGATAGGATTGGAAATAATGTCAGGTGAAGAGTAAGAAAGAAATGACGTGGGTGGTGATTGCAGTGAGAGATCTCTGTTGCACTGTTATTTTAAAGGACTCCTGGCAAAAATAGGTAGGAAAGTACTAGAGTCCATTATTGAATGAAGGAATTCAACAGGAACAGAGTCTATTTCCTATGTAGAAACCGAACTGAATCTTAACACATATATCTTTTCAAATCCCCCCATGGGTTCCCACCATAGACAGGAAAAATAAAGCCCTCCCTGGCCCAGCCTTGTCACACTCTGGCTTGGCTCGCCCTCTACCCTTTCTCACAGCACTGGCCCCATCTGCCGCCTGGCGCCACCTGTGCTGCCTCCTGCAAGGCGGCCTCAGGGCCTTCACACTTGCAATTTCCCCCAGATAGCCAGTTTATTACGTCTCTGCAGTTTATTACGTCTCTGCTATAATGTACTACGTTAGAGAGACCTCCTATCACCTCTGCATTCAAAAGATCACTCTAACTCCCTTTATATACTTTCCCACACACCTACACTTTCACATGCACATTCATGTACATTCATGCACATTCATGCACTCACACATGCACACTTACACTTTCATACCCTCACCAGCACACACTCATGCACAACAATGCACTCACACATGCACACCCATAATTTACACTAAGGTGACAAACTGTTAAAAATCTGAACGTCAAAAAGCTGAACGTCTGGTCACCTTACCTTGCACCTTCATGCACATCCATGCACTCCCACATACACACTCACACTTTTAAACACATTCACCCTCACACACTCATGGACACGCATATAGTCGCACACAGTGCTGGTACTCTGTCCTCTTTCTGGCTTTACTTTTCTTAATAAACCACAGTATCAGCTGCCATTTTACTTTGCAAGGTTTTATTGTCTATCCTCCCTCACTGAAGAGGAATCTCCATGAGATCAAGAACTTTAACGCTGAACACAAGAGCTGCCCCCTGGTGGTCAGTGTGCTCCTAAAGGGGTGGGGCGTGCTGCTCAGTCATAAGCTGGGCTGGCGAGCACAGCGGTGGTGGCGAGAGCCTCTCCTGCCTCCACGGCAGCACTAAGGATGTCCAACTGATGGCTTAGGCCCATGGGGAGCAAGGCCTAAGCTATCAGTCGGACGTCCCCCAAGGGCTCATGTACTGCAAAAGGGAGCATGCAGGGCTGAGCTCCCCCCCCCCCCCGCCCCAGTGCACAAATGTTGTGCACCAGGCCTCTAGTTGTTAGAGGCCTGGTGCACAACTAAAAGAGTGAGTGAATACATTTAGAGCATCCAAAGGAACCATTTCAATTTCTACCACTCCAATCAGAAAATCTATGGAGATAAAAGTCAGAAAGGCATGAAGGTGGCACCTTCTAATGTAAAACAGCTGCACGGCGCCTGGGCTCCCAAAACCGTGATGCACCCCGTCTGTCCAGTAGCATGAAAACGTCTCTAGTTCAGGTGAACGGCACTTGGTGAACTGGGGCGTCCCGGAAGTATCTGCAGGAAAAAGGAAAAGGCAAAGCATGAAACCAGGAGGCTCATGTGCTGTCCCAAAGACAATCACATCCAAAGTGATGGAGAAGCATCCTTTCTCCCAGAAACGCTGTTTTCCTAAGTCACACTTTCAGAGAGTGTTGCTTTCAGTTATTTCTCTGTCAGCCCTTGATTCCACAGACAAACCCATTTTGTCTTATTTCAAGTATCAGTTCCTCAGGCCTGTTTAAGAAACCAGGGAAAGAGATAAGGATTTTGGAACAGAAAGTTTATTTGGGAGGTGACCCCAGGAACTAGAAGTGAGGGAACGGGGTTGGGGAAGGGGAAGGAGCCCAGTAGATAAAGTGCATGTTATTTAGCTGGCTGTCATGGTGGCTCTTCTGAGATCCTGTGGAGTGTGCCTCCCGCTGTCCTAGACAAGAATGACAGGCTGGGTGGGTTAGGGTTGAATTGCAGACTAATCAGATTATGAGCAAAAAAACAAACCAAACCAAACAAAAACAAAAAACTAAACCAAACCAAACCAAAACTTGACCGTCTCCAAAATGGCCACGGAAGTCAGGACAATGAGAACTGGTATACAACATCGCTTTGACCCAGATGAGTCTCTCGCGCGGGGATAGCTGCAGATTGCACAGATGCACAGAGTTAACCCAACACCCTAACATAATAGATTTGACTTCCCAAAATAGATTTGACCCATTTGTACACAGAAGTTGGGAGGCATTCTCTATTTCCCAAAATAGAACTGACCCATATGTACGCGTAAGTCGGACATCTAGTTAGGGAGTTTACTGGCTGAATCTTTTAAAAGAATGCAACCGTGAGTGACTTTTTATTTCAAAATCTATATAAAAAGAAAGGGCCCTGTCATGTATGCTGTGGTCCTTACGTCCCATCTCTTTGCCCACCGGATGCCAACGCAGCCACCACTGCACACGGCGGGGCGTACTTCAGGTGCCTGTTTAGGTTTCTCAGAAGCCAGGTGAGGACTCAGCCCAGGTGCAGGTGCAGTTGAGTTCAAGGGTATTAATATCCCCAGGGCTTCCTTCAGCCAGTGGGTGATGGGAGCTGTTACACACGAATATGGTGAAAAACGTGTTTCCTTCGGGAACACCTGCTCCACAGGGAGGACCTGAGAAATCCCTTTTCTTCATAGCTGAAGCGCAGAAAACGGTAATGTTTGGTCCTTCCAGAAAATCAGTGATTAGTAAAACATACTCAAACAACTACCTTAATGCCTGCACGTTTGAGGAGAGAGAGTATTTCTTTCTGACAGTTCTTTCACACAAAAGGCAAGAAAAGAAAATGCAGAGGGGAGGGGGCTGGGGGACTGAGTGGAAAGGGGAAGGGTTGGAGAAGGGCAGATTGGTGGTTACAGAACAGTCACGGGGATGTGAAGTGCAGCACCGGGAATACAGCCAATAATACTGTAATCACCATGTATGGGGCCAGGCGGTACTGGAAATAGCAGGGTGAAGACTTTGAAAAGTATATGATTGCCTCACCACTATGCTGTACACCTGAAACCAACACAAAATAATACAGAATGTCAACTGCAATTGAATAATATATATTTTTAAAAAGAGGAACTCCACTGCATTACAAATGGAGAGATCTGGGTGCTAGCCCTGACTCTGAGACTGTTTGCCTGTGACCTTCCAAAGCCATTGTTTGGGAGCAGAAAGAAGAGGAGGAGCAGCTGAAGGGGGAAGGGATGGTTGGAGGGAAAGGCCAACCCAACTTTCTCCAGAGCTGACCTTCTCCAGAGCTGACCTTCTCCAGAGCTCGGGTAGGGAGGCCCTCAGCGGCCACCTGCCCTGGAAGAGGTGGGTGAGGACCTCGGCAGCACCACGTCGCCACGTGGACCATCTGCTGTCAACAGCTCCGCACACTTGTGATCATCCCTGAGCACAGGCTCGGGCGGGGAGAAGCTGGAAGGAACAACCGTGCTCCCTGGCCAGAGGGCAGCTCAGCCAGCACTGCATGTGAGCACTTCCTGTTAAGCTGAGCAGCAGTGGCAAACGATGGGGAAAGGAGGAAAACAAAGCCCTGGGTCTCCGAGTGAGTAGAACGGCAACTTGTCAGACAGTCTGAGAAAAACGATTTCATAGGACAAATAACTGCACATGGTTCTAATCCTAAAGAAGGAGAGAAACGGCCAGAGCAGAGCAGAGGACGGGATTACAGGTGCGTGGACCATGAAAGAGGAAACACTGTGAAGAGAGAAAAGCAGGAAGCTCACGGGCCCCACGACTTCTGGCCCCTTTAGGGTGGATCCGGGTTCTGCTCAGAAATCTGCAAAGGCAGCCGATCTTGGGCCAGTTTGGGAAGCGTTGCCACAGCAGCTCAGTCACCCCGGTATGGATCAAGCGGTTTACTGCTGACCATGAGCCAAAGTGAGGAAATACTTGCTGTCAGTGGAAATAGCTTTCATATGCTCTGAGGATTGCACAAGCACATGGTCCGGCCAAGTGTGGAGAAACTGCAGTGTGCCTTTCCCAAACGATAAACAAGAGGCGGTGATCCCAGCGGTCAGTCCACTCCCCGGTCTTCGCCTGCACAGGCTTTGGGCAAGATCTCTGGGGACTGAGTAGCTGAAATGTACCCGGGATCGACCAACACCTTTCTATACAGCCTCTACACTTGCGTAAAGCAACAGCATAGGGATATATATCCACGATCCTGGGAAGTCTGATGAGAGAGGACGTGGACGTGTGGTTCCGTCGTGGTGGAGAGAAGCCATTGCATTCAGCACAGCGGATTTTCCAAGCCCCTCTCTCGGGCAAGGACCAGATGGAAGGGGACTAATAACATGGTCACAGCAGCTAAGACTCAGGGTGCCATGTGCCAGCACTGTCCTGCACATCATATGTATTAACTCCCTTCATTCTCACAGCTAGGAATGAGGTTAGGTACTGTTATTCCCACCATCTCAGAGATAAGAGCGCTGAGAACGGAAGTCAAATAACTGGCCTGCAGTCCTAGGTAACCAAGAGCAAGAATCCTCATTGCAACTGGGCAGTCTTACTTCAGAGTCTCATGGAAGCCACGGCCCTCATAGCCTTCAAAGTCTGAGAGTGAGCCTCGGGAAGAGATCACCACCCAGTATGCACGTATTTTCTTATGTGATATGTCAAAAAAGAAACTATTTCAAGATATGCTAACTCTTTATGCCTGCAATGAACTCTGATTTACTCTATTCCAATTTATAAATAACTAGTGGCCCGGTGCACAAAATTCTTGTACATTAAAAGGAAATTAGAGGAAATATTTTAATATTGCTATTTGCCCTTTCTCTATAATAGAGGTGTCAGAGATGAAAGAAAATCAGTAAAGTGTTTATGAAAACATTCCTCCTGTCAGAGTCTGGGACGCACTGCAGGACCCAGAGTCAAGTCCTCATTCACTTTTGGCAGCGTAAAATTGCACAAGACCCTGCCCCAGACAGTCCCACCCCTATTGAATGAGATTCAGACCTGGCTGGCCCCACCACCATCAAGCCCTGCTGGGCGGGGGGAGCACAGCCTCAGGTCCCCCAGGCCTGGCACCAGATGGGAGGAGCAGCTTGAGGTCTTCTGGCCCAGCTCTGGGGTAGGGGCACATTTTGAGGTCCCTTGTCAAGCTCTACTGGGCAGGGAGGTTCAGGCTCAGGTCTTCTGCCCTGGCCCAGCATCACACGGCCTCAAGTCCTGCTGATTGCTCCTTAAGGCTCCATATGGGAACTTGGCCTCTGCTGTGGTGCAGCCATCCTGTATTATGGAAACCCGGCCTCTGCTGTGGGCACCACCATCTTTGTGACGGTCAATTTGCATATTCTCTCTTTATTAGTTAGAATGTGCTCATGACCCAGAAAAGTGGTTTCCTAATGGGTCCCCATGTTCAGTTTGAGAGACACTGCCCACAAAGCTCTCCTGTGTCCCTGAAAGTTGAAAATTAATGTGCATAGTGTTCAGAGCCAGGCAAGAGTGCACCCTTTACCTGGCACACATTTTTTATGACACTGTCAACAGGACTGTGGTTTCCAGGTAACCAAAACTTATTCTTGAAATACTTTCCCCCGCAAATATATTTAAAGATTGTTTTGATCACTAAAAAAAGTCAAATGTCACATGACCTTTTTAATGGCTTTGCATGGGGCCAGGGACTATGATACTGAATTATGACACACATGTGCAGAAGGGGGCTGGCCTCTTCTTGCCCCCACACTAAGTAGCTGCACTGCTTTGTTGGTGTGACTCATGCTCTCACTTCAGCTTTGCTTAATTCACAAGCAGTTTTTTCCCTAGAGTGGCGTAGTTTATTATTTTTAATAATAGTAATTCTCCATCTTCAGAGTTGCCTTGGCAGTTGATGAAAGTTACCGGGAAATAACCTGATGATACTGGTAACACCTGAGAGCACAGACTTGGGAGCTGGCCTCCTGGGTTCCAGCCCCACCTCCATCACTTACATCTGTGCGATCTTGGGCAACATACTTGGCCTTTTCGGTTTCCTCACCGGTGAAATGGGGATGATGATGTACCACCTAGGGTTATTATGAAGATTAATGGTGTACTAATAGATGTCAACCTCTCAGAAAAGTGCCTTACTCTCAGTATAAAGTAAGCACTGTGTGTTTGTTGTTGTGCCATCCTCCCAGTCAGCTGTGATGGTCAGTGAATGATCTGTTGACTGTTGTTACCTGGGAAGTGCTGGAGATGGACATTGTCACATCTGAGACCCATCCTCATTTCCCAGGCTCACGGTGACAAGTCCTTCGGTGCTGGCTGGAATGTCGGAAGTAGGGGCAGTGGTGCGGTGACAGCGTGCCCCTCACTGTTCACAGGTGATTCTTTGTGGCTATGCTCTAGATGGTCAGGGCTACCACCGCCCACGTTCTACACAACTGGCGGAGGTCGCTGTACCCTTACATATTGGCATTAACATGTAAAGAATCCCATGCAAAGGCCTGCCTTGTGGTTCCTGAGAAACCATGCTGCAAGTCTAGAAGTTCCTGGGCG